CTCTACCAGCCTCGTCACCCCTAACTGCCCTCCCCTGCAGGCTTGATTGTCCCCAACTGCCCTCCCTTGCAAACCTGGTCCCTCCCAACTGCCCTCCCCTGCTGGCCATTTTATAGTGGCAGGATCTTTAACCACATGGGGGCAGCCATCTTGTGTGTTGGAATGACAGTCAATTTGCATATTACTCTTTTATTAGATAGGATAAGTATTTCTAGACTCTCAGAAATATGAAAATTAACCCAAATGGTTTCTACTATAATGATCTGAGTAAGTATTCTATAAATTAAGTTGATTTAAATAAAATGAGTATGTGTTTAGATTTGTCAGAATTGGATATCATGCAGACATATAACTTTTATACCACCAGGATTTATTAGTCAAATAGAAAATATACCAAAACTCCTTAGAGAAAACTGGATACTTTCTTTGTGGCTTTGAGATGCAAATTTTCTACCCCCATCTTCTTTAGGACCCGAGAGCCAACTCTTTGAAATACAAATTTTCTTTTCATCTGAAGGAAAAAAAACTTTTTAGAAAATTTCAGTAGTAATCTAAATATGATTTTTAAGACCAAGTGAATTAAATAGATGTAAGTGCAATGAACTTTAAATAATGAGGAAGTTTCAAAACACATGTCTATTTTAAAGTAGCTTCCAAATCTTTTTGGTAACTTGAACCCTTAAAATTTTGCTAAATGATGGAAATTCATTCAATATGTAGATCACTTTCAAATAAGATAAAGTACTGAAACATGACTTACGGAATATAGTTTCATCTACTGTTGGCTTCTTATCACAAAGAAACTAAAACTTTCTGGGTCTGTGAGTAAGCGTGTCTTGTGCCACAATGAACAGTTGTTCTACAAAAAAGCACAAGCTTCTGGAAATTAGGAAGTGCTAAGAAATTTGCCAATCTACATACTGTTGGTATGTAGCAGTTCAAAATTGCTAACTTCTTGGTTTTCAATAGAAATTAAGATTTCAAAGGTTGGGAATTCTAATTAGTATATGTAATAAAAACTGTAGAACTAGTAAGGGCAACATCTCTGTCTGCATGGAAAGTTAGATGTGTTTTTGGTTTAAAAAATGTAGTGAGTACAGAGATGATTTTTTTTTTAAGTGAAAGAGTAATTTTTCATGAAATATAACCAGCTGTTTCAAAATTGCAAAAAGGAGAATAAAAGACAAAATAATGGATTGTAGAAAGTTTGGAAGTGAGAGAGGGAACCTTGTGTTATTAAGGTAGCTAAAGTGGGATTAATTTATTATAATGATTTAAAGATAAGGTTTAATATTAATATTGTACTTAATTTAAAACTGAAACTTTATTTTCTTCTATCTGCTCACAGGATTGTCTTGTACTGTTGGTCTGCTCCTGATAAAATATTATGAAGGGTTTTCTACTTTTATGTAATTTGCCTAAGAAAGCAAAGATTTTGTGTTTTACTAAAACAATTGTGTGCTTCATGTTACCTTTATTACCCGGTTTTTGATTATTTAAGAAAACCAAGTCTTCTCAATAGTAAGAGCTAAGTTTTTCTCACAATTGTGTAACTTTCTGTATCTGCCTTTAAAATATTTTGTCACTTTGGTTAAATAGGTAATTAAGTATTCTATATAATAAAAGCCTAATATGCAAATTGTCCCCTTGACCAGGAGTTTGACCTCTCGCTATGATGTGTGCTGACCACCAGGGGCAATGTGGAGCATGGCAAGTGTCAGCTGTGCAGCACTGGCAGTGGGCAGCAATGGAGGCACTGCCAGCCCTGATGGACACCGAGCGGAACTGAGGTGGGATGGTGGATCAGGTGAGTGGACAGCACCAGGCCAAGGCAGGAATGAGTGGGGATGGGGGGTGGGAGGGGAGGAGAAGGGGCAATATGGCAAAGGGGGCCTGATTGCTCCACAGATAACTGCAGGGGGCAGGGCCGCCGCCTGGCTCCCAGGTGCTGAGGGAGTTGGGTGGGGGCAGTGGGGAGCTCAGGACCCAGCCCTGATATGTCCTAGTGTAATGTTATCACTTGTAATTCTAGGTATTATGATAAAATGTCACAGAAAAAAACAAATGTTTTCAGCTCTTTATGGCATTTTAAAATCTTTTGCCATCTATAGAAAGTATTGTTTTGCTTTTGCAAAAGTGTTTCTTCAGGGAGATTCATGGAAAGGACTCGGAAAAGTACAGGTTTCTGATAACTTTCAGATCATACCATTGAACTGGGTAAGAATTAACCAAGAAAATTTTAAGGAAAAAGTGGATTTGTAAAACTCCTCACAAAATATCAAGATCAACACAAATTTATTATCTGGGACTGAATGAAAGAAAAAGGATTTTTTTATAACTTTTTTAATGTTTTGTTTTTCCAGATTGAAGGAAACTTCTTCCTTTTCTCCTAAACCATCTGTGACTTACAGCAATTTGGTAAGTACCCCTTTGTGAACAAGATGAAACAATTACTTATTTCGCTACCTGATTCCCTCAGAATTAGGAAATTCTGAGTATGAATTCTTGTTTTCACGAGCACATATTTTTTGTGTTAAGTTCAACAAGATTCTGTTCTCCTTGTAAAAAGGCACAATTGAAAACAGTGGTTTTAGTACCAAGACTTTGACTAGAACGTCACATTTGAAAACTTGTACAGAATCATGCATGACCAGGCAGTTTTAAGGAGTTTTAATTGAGCCCCTTGGAAAAGCTTCCTGGCACCTTGCTTATTGGGCTCCTGTCAGCCTTATTTAGTAAGAAATGATGGTCACTTTCTGGCAGGTGCAGGAACATCAGGATATATTGGAGATCTTGAGAAGAGAGGAAACCCAGACATATAAATTATTGCAGGTGAAATTTGAGACCAAGACCTTGGCTTCCTAGCCTTGAGAGGATTGTAAAAAGTCCTATCTGAGATTCCTTATGAAAAGTTCTAGCAAAGCAGATTTTTAAATGCCTGTATCCGGTCAATCACTATTTTTGGTGCACTTATTTTGCAAACAAATTATACATGGGGATAATGATTATGGAGAGAAAAATGATGCTTCAGTAGAAACTATAACGCCTCTTGGGATGTCTGATTCTAGTCCTGCTAACTGTCTGAGGTTTTGTTTTCTACCTGTAAACTGGGCTGGATCCTGAGTTCTAGTTTCCTCAGGTAATCTGGCTACAACTCTATAAATTAGCATTTCCAATCCCCCCACCCCAACTCTATTGACTTGGAATCACTAAGAACAAATTTTATGAAATTCCTAGAAATCTGATATGCCAATGACTCCTGTTTGGACACTCCTCGTGCTTGTTGTGCGGGCCACTCAGAAAGTTGACAGACTGCCCGGTGGCATCAGAGACATTCAAACTAAAAAAGATGCTTCATCTAGAAACCTACTGACTGGCTCAGACTGAGTTTATAATTGCTCCAGCTATTACCCTTTGTTTCCACAGAAACACGTCTTATTAAATATCTGAGTGCTCCCACCTGCAACACTGCCTCCTGAAATGACACAACCATGCAACTGAACTGACTTCAAGATTGAGAGACCCGTCCAAGGACACAACCCAGCTGTCCCTCAGCTCAGCCTCTGGACTGTGGGTTCCTGTGGAGGTTCAGAGGTAAGACTTCAGGGGAGCAGAGCACATCACTCCAGAATATGCTGCTTCAGCATAAGGGTTTTGTTTGGTTTTGAGCTGATTATTTTTAAGAAACAGGAGACATAGGAAAAACACTGGAATGTAAAAATAGGGACCCTTTCATAGAGAAAATTGACGTAAGAGAAATCCCATGTGTAAGGGTGTCTCCTTCTCTGTACCTGGAAGAGGATGACTCTACAGTAGATGAAACTCATCGAAGGCACCAACTTAAATCTGTGAATCAACCCTACTCTGTTTACTGTGCTTTTCCCCACTCCCCCAACATTAAGGTGATGGCTTGGGCCACTTTCAGGGAGTGGCTCAGCTTCCCTGGCTGTTTCCCATGGATATAGGAGGCATGCATGTATTACTCTCTTCTCCTGCTAATCGCTCTTATTACAGGAACAGGTCCCAGCCCAAAACCAAGAAGGTAGGGGCAAAATTACTTTTCCTCCCTCCCAAGGACATGTAGGAAGTTTGAGTAGTTAATTGTTAGGTTACAGCATTTTTCTCTTTCGGAGCATAACCATAAGCTCAAAGAAACACAACGTACGACGCTAATGGCAAAATGGTGTATTCTTAGCCTCTTCAGAAAGGCACGGCCCATATGGTGCAGAGCACATCTGTGAAGGCCATCAGACCTCCGGCAGGGTTACATTACATTTGTTACTAGTAAATAGTTGGGGTTTTTAGCCATTTCATAAGGCCTGATCACATACACATTTCACCAGGATAACATAACATATGTGCTATCTGGAGCCCATTTATCTTCTGTCAGCTTTGGCTTCATGGTGATCCAAATGTGGAAAACCAAATTAGATATCAACACAGTCATTAATTTGTCTTAGAAAGCACAAAAAAATAACCGTTTAAAAAAAATCTTTGGTGGCATGTTAAAGGCATCATGCTTTTCAGCATAAAGAGAGGAAAACAATTAAAAATGGCCTCAAAAATACAAGCTGTAATTAAAAAAAGCTTAAAACTCAACTTAAGTTACGCAAATTAACCCTAGCAGTCTCAAGGCATGATCGTTAAATTAACAAACACACTTAAAATTTGTTTCTTTAAAAAAAAAAACCCAGTAAATCATGATGGCTTTTTAAAAAATTCTATAAAACCTCAAATTCAGTCACTACTCAAAATCTTAACAAGCCAAAAGTCAAGAAAAGAAATATAAAAACAATTTTTTGGAATCAAGACTTTGAAAAAGTTTTGCTAAACTCAAATGTCTTACAAGCTCCGTGGCCCATCTCTGTCCCTGTGCCTACAGGGCGGACTTGGTGCGGCACTGCCCAGGGGGCTGGGCCCGCGCCTGTCAGAAGCTCTCGGAATGAGATGCAGGGGTTGGCGAGTCCTGTCTCTGGTTGGCCAGGTGTGGGCAGCAGCATTTACACGAGGTTGAACTCCCTCAGGTTCAGCTGGAGGATGGTGTCCTTGACGGCAGCGAAGACAAAGCGGATGTTCTCTGTGTCCGTGGCGCAGGTGAAGTGGGAGTAGATGACCTTCTCCTTGTCCGGGTTCTGGTCCTGATAGAGCTTCAGGATAAAGTTTTTGGCAGCTTTGACGTCCCGCTTCGGTCCTGGTTCCGAGCGCAGTTAGGGGGATAAAGAAGAAAGATGCCACTCACCACCAGGTACTCCCCCAAATTAATTCCAGTGTCCTCTTGTCCTTAAGCTATCTTAGTTCTAGGACAGTGGCCGGCAAACTCATTAGTCAACAGAGCCAAATATCAACAGTACAATGATTGAAATTTCTTTTGAGAGCCAAATTTTTAAAACTTCAACTTCTTCTAATGCCACCTCTTCAAGATAGATTTGCCCAGGCTGTGATATTTTGTGAAAGAGCCACATGCTGACCATGGTTCTAAGGAATAGTTTTACTGGGCATATTTTTAAAAAATTATATCACATTCTGAACCTGTAAAAGAATATACTTTAAAGTATCTAGCTGGTATCTAAAACTTGTATTTAAGGCAATGTGTTGAAGGATAGTGTGCAAATTTAGCTTTCTGACTTGAACCACTTTTGAAAAAAGATCACTCTTACTAACTCAGCAGGCAGCTAGCAGAGGGAGAATATGAGCACTAACATTGTTAGGCATCCACATCTGCTTTTAAAGCTTGTGGGTGCTCTACTCCATGGCCAAGCAGTTAGTACAAGGGAAAAGGAGAGTTCTAAAGCTCTGCTCCTCTACATAGCAATGTCAGACTTCCGGGTCGAGAAATCATTAGCAGTAGGGCAGGGACTGGATTAGTCATGCAGACGAGGAACCTCGTGTCCACCCTGTGTCTGCAAAAAAGCTGCCACACTTTAACCTACTCATCAGAAGTGCCAGGTGCTCTGACCAACTGGGCGTGCAATCAATGGTAAGGCAGGCACAGTTTCTGCCCTCCAGAACCGGCTGGGGATGGGGTGAGGATCAGAGGGCCTGCCTGAGCTGGGTCTTGGAGAACAAACTGGAGTTAGCAAAGGGCTAGCATGTGTGGAGGTGGGAACGGTGAGGAAGTCCATTGGAAGCAGACCATCGAGTCCCTGGGAGCCCTTAGAACTCTGGACTGACATCAGCACGGTGGACACCTACCTGTGTATTCTGGGAAATAGCTAATTAGATGAGAGTACATGATTTTCTCTTCCAGAAGATCCTTCTTGTTTAAGAACAAGATCACGGATGAGTTCAGAAACCAGGGGTAGGTGATAATGGTTTTAAATAAGGCTTTGCTCTCTTCCATGCGATTCTAAGGGGAAAAGAGAGGCAGGTAGGGTTAACTAGAAAGAAAAGCAGTACTTGGGACACAAGTCACTTCACTGGTTCTATCCCTCTGCCCCCCCAACCCCACCCTCTCTAATCACCCCTCAACTCTAGCTACAAATTAACATGTAAGATATCAGAAAGGCTTTTGTGCAACATGGCAAAGGAAAGTTCTTGCCCAGATTTGACAGTTTTGTGTGTCATTATTAGGATTGTTCAGAGTAAGCCCTGGGGCACCCATTCTATTGGGTGTGGTCTCAGACTGTGTGTCAGAAGTCGGGGGACAATGAGAGGAACACTAGCTCTTTAGCAGGGTCCCCACCCACAGAGAAGGGGCCCAGCACATGCCTCCCATGCAGGTGGCACCGGTGTGCTCGGCCTGGGGAGCAGGATCTCTAATGTGTGGGTAAGGATACTTGTTTACAACATTTAAATACTTTCCCAAGCCTGGACAGTAGAAGGACCTGGTGGGAATTATGCAGGACAGTAAAATTTCTGAACATTAGACATTGGCAGGAAAAGAGTAACTTCCTGATTTATGGAGAGCAGATTTGTGCTAGTTAGAAATACTTGAGAGGGATGTGCCATAAGTCTGTTTTCCCACGACTCTCAGGTTCATAATCCTGTTCAATATATTTTAAGGGATTAAGATATGGAATTTATTTTTTTAACTATTTATTTTATTGATTTTGTACAGAGAGGAAGGGAGAGAGATAGAGTGTCCTCGATCAGCTGCCTCTTGCACACCCCCTACCGGGGATATGCCCGCAACCAAGGTACATGCCCTTGACCGGAATCGAACCTGGGACCTTTCAGTCCCCAAGCCGATGCTCTAACCATTGAGCCAAATCGGTCCTGGCAAGATATGGAATTTATTGCCAGAAGAGAAATCCCTCTTGCTTTTAAAGATTCTTTAAAATTTATTATGATCTTATCAATAATAACCTCTAAGGAACTACAACATATGAAAACAATGATGCTATACTATACAACGAGAGGATGCAACTCATGTCTGCAACCAGAAGGGAAGAGTCTAGAGTGGCAACCACTTTGTTTTTCTCCAGATGCCTGTGTTTTTAGGAGAGGAGAAAATGTTCAGTGTTTTAGCACATCAGGCTGAAGTTCTTGTTCACTTGACTAATCTTTTGCTTTTCCTGAGACAAATTTGGAGCCAATTTTTCATATTGATAACTCGAGGACTTTCCTTTAAAAAAAATTTTTTTTCCTACTGAAGAGCTGAGTGGCAGTCAAGGCTTCTATTCTTGTTTGCACAATGACTCTAAGCTAATTAGTGGAAGATTAACCCATTTACTAATGTAACTGTGCTCCTTAGAGAAAATTCTGCTCTCAAGAAACACAAGATATTATTTGTTCATGGTTATTACCTAATCCTGGATAGAGTTCTTGACTGATTTACTTTCATGCCCTAGAAGCAAGAGGTAAGAGGAAAGACGATGGGAGGATAAGGGTATCCTGCGGAGGGCACTGAAAGCCTGGCGGGGTTGGTCAGTCCCAGTTACCCCAGCTCACCCCTTCCAGGAGACCCCCAAACAGCCAGCCCAGCTGGGGACTGGGGGGGAAGCCTGTTCTCAGGTAAAGTTTACTAGAAGTAACATTGTTCAACTCTGACTGCACATTAGCATTCCTAGGGACTTAGGAAAGACACTTCAACTCCAACCCAGCAGTAGGAACCTCTAGTGTGGAGTCCAAATTATGATACTTTTTCAAAACTCCCCGAGGGCTTTCAGTGTGCCGCCAGGGCTGAGAGGCTCCACCGAGGCAGCGCATTCGATCAGATGCTCCGCTCAGGCCACACTCTCCTTCCACGGGGCTTCCGCGATGGAGTTCCAGTGGCACCCAAGTGTGAGAGCCAGTTTCCAGGTCAGTGATCCTCAAACTTACGTGTTTATGGGCACCACCAGGGACCTTACTAAAATACAGATTCTGATGTATTTGGTCCACAATTCTAACAATAGTGTGTGGACTAGCATACAGGTGATGCCTGCGCTGCTAGTCCACACACTCACTATGAGTAGCAAACAATTTAACGTCAGGCTTAGAATCTAATGGCAGAGCCGGCTGGCTTTTTGCAAACTACAAAAATAGGTCTCTGTCTTCCACCGCTCCCCACGCTCCCCACCTGGCATACCTCATTGTCACACTCAGCCAGGACCTGGTCGTATTCACTCAGCGCAACCAAGAATATGATGGAGGTGACGCTCTCAAAGCAATGGATCCACTTCCGCCTTTCGGATCGCTGGCCACCCACGTCCACCATCCTGTCCAACAGAAACACAGGTCTCAAAGGCTGGATTTGTGGCTCTGGAGGAGGGTGTGCTCATTCCACCATGGAAATCAGTAGGTCTTGGCTTCCTGCCTGATCTTCAGGAGTGAACAAAGGTCCTGCGACTGAAAGGTTTGAGCACCACTGCTTTCGACACTGAGGAACCACCAGACATTTCCCAGCAGAGGAGGACAGAATGTAAGTGACATTACTGAAAACAGATGCAAAGTTACTCAGGTTCAGAAGCTGCAATTGTCCAGGCAGAAAGCACAGGCTTCCCATTGGGCATTGCTCTACCCACTGGAGAGCCGGGGCACCAGCCACCAAAGGGGTAGAATGGTGCCAGTCTTCCAGGTCCACTCAGCTTTCTCCAGGCCTTTGCTCCTTCCTATCCCCACGCTCTACCCCCAAATCCTTTCTCCATTAGGTGGATGCTGCCCCTTCTTCCCTGTAAAGTTGTGTAAGTGGCCTTTGTCCCATATGGGGAAGACTGCAGAGCCTCACAGCCATAGGATCGATCCTAAGCTTGAATGCTACATCCAGGGGTCAGGCAGGCTTCTGCAATGTAGATGTATTCTCTTTGGCTGACTTAGTGTTTTGAATAACTTTTGAGTTAACATTAAAAATACTGACTGTTTCACTTAAAACACTTGCTATCTAATTGGAGGATCTGGTCTTAGTGAGCCTGCATTTTGTCCCCAATGGCTGGCATCCACTGCACAGCAGCCATCCCTTTAGACAGGGCCCTTAGCCCTCCGGAAGTGCATGCTCTTCTATAGACATTGCAAAGGTCTGCCTGACCCCTGCAATCTTTCCCACTTCGGGTTCCCAAATGGGACAAAGGGCATTACACATCTTTACGGGAAGAAGGGACAGCATCCAGGGTGATTAGAAAGGTGGGTTCCTCTCTATTCTAGCACTTGAAACCGACCACAATTCTAAAAACCCTGTGATGGAAAGGGCACATTGCCCTGAAAGATAAGAACCCTTTGGGGGACTTCCAAACCTGCACAAATTCTTAATGGAATGTATCAGGGAGACATTCTTACCGAAAGATGATGTTTTCCAGGTCAAACGGATACTCGATGATGCCAGTTGTGGGCACTCGAACACGAAGCACATCTTGCTGCGTCGGCACATAGGACGGCAAGGCGATCCTGTCAATATCAGTCAGGTAACTGCAATATCAGAGAGCAAGGTGCCGAGACTCATTTTACAGGAAGGAGGCGTGTCCATCCCACTCCAAGGAAGTCACCCCACTCAGAGCCACCCCCACTTAGATTCCTGGGGCCCATCAGTGACTGAGAGCCAGCCCTCCTGCAACAGTTTCAGAAGGAATGTGTATCAGGAGCCTGCATGAGCCTTCAGGGAAACCTGTGGATCACCCCATCACTTCCTTCTGGATCTAGCTCATCACTGGCCGGAGGGGAGGAAGTGGAGTCTAACTGCCTGCCTTTCCCTCCCACACTCGTCCTCAGCCAAGAACATTACAGACTGCAGATGCTGCTCTCTGGCACTCTGTGAGTGAATTGGGGTTTCTAAGAAAACACGAAGCGTAAAACAGGCCAACAGGAAGTTCAGGATAACAGTGAGAAAAGGTTTTCCTGTTATATGGGGAAATTAAATGTCTAAGATAAATCAAAACTTGTCTTGGATTATTTTTGCCATATATGAAATCCCTGAGCTTAAAATATATCATTTTTCTGAGGTAAAATAGGAGGGCACTTAAAAAATTTTTAAGCCTTAAAAAAAGGCACTTTAGTAAAACAACTAACTCAGGCCCTGGTCAATGACAAAGCTGATTCCGAGCCCAGCAGCCTACTGCAAACTACTCTGTGTCCCAATACATGACCCCAAGGCTAATCGTCCCTGACTTCCATATGTGTGCTTCTTTTTACTTACATCTGTCTTGTTCCACCAGAAAAAAGACAGGTGTAAGTAATGTTCCTTGATATCAGACAGCACTGGTTGTACCTGCTGCCTGGTCTGTGGCAGGCACACCTCATTTTTTTCATACCTGTCCACATAAGCAGACGTGACCAGCAGAGCAGACAGCAACTACTGACGGCATAGATGTCTCTAGTCTCCCCAGTTCCAAAGACAGGGCAACTGTCTGCTGCAGCTCTGTCCACCAATCTAGTCACTTTCAAAATTCTTCTCATACTTGCTGCCTAAGATTTCAGGGATCCATTGAATTTCATGGTGCCTCCAATGGGTCTTTCCCAAATGGATCCACATCAAGATCCTGAGTGCCTCCCCAGGGTCTTCACTGAGCAAGTGATGCTAGACTCTCTCCAGGGAGATGCCGGGACGCTGTGGCCAACCAGGCTGCTGCTGTGACCCACAGTCTGCCCTCTTCTTTGGGATACTGCCTCCTTTCCTTTTGCCTCTTTTCTTAAGTCCCAACACCTTAGTGGGACTTGTATTTCCTTTCCTGCTTTGTACCTAAAAGTCCCTGAGCTCAGATCGGTTGTGTGAACCTGGATTAATGGTTTAACATTCAGCCCAGGATGAACCCTAAAGGTAAAGACTCCAGCTTCCTCTCCTGCTCACCGCCTGGTCCAGGTGATGGGAGTGGATCCCCCACCAACTCCAGCTCCAAGGGTGATGACTGCACCTGAAGGGAAGGGTATGTCTCGGGAAAGGACCTCGGGACCCTCAGAAGATGGAAGAAGACATGGGCTGAGGGGCAAAGAACTACAGAAATCGTCTCTTGAAGAAGGACTGTGTTTCAGATTATCCAGTGAGTTGTCTGGCTGAGGCACTGCCTCAGGAAATTAAGAAAATGAAATTCTGGTCATCTCCCTGGGATCCTGTGCATGCAGGTCCATCTAATCCTTTTACTCTAAAGATAACATTTAAAACTTGAGCTTCATGGATCAAAAAAATGTGTAGGCCTTTGCGAGTTGTTAATAAACCAAGAGCTCCCAGATTCAGCTTCCTCCCTGACTCTTTCCCACTAGAGGGCAGCACATGACCAGCATCTGCTGGGCCTATAGCATTGAGATCTAAACTCTGATTTTTAGATTTTAGGGTAATGGGACCTTGGTCTACTGATCAGGAAATCTGAAGGCAAAGAGGTATGGAGAGGAGGAAGGTCGAGGTAGTAGCAGATGCAGTCCTCATCTAAGTCAGATCATTTCAGCACCCCAAATGAGATCAGTTCCACCAAGGGAACACCACACTTGCTTTCGCCTCATTGAAAAGGACAGAGGCTCAGGACATGGCTGGGACAGGTGGGTGTGGGCAAGGAGAGAAATCTGGGATCCACGGGGAGACTGAAGGTTTTAGGTGGGAGGAGACTCCCCAGAGGAAGCTTCTGTGAAGGGCATGCAGCATGCTTGCCTGAGTGCTGGGGGCAGCCCGCCGAGGCTCTATACTCACTATTTGGCAGAGTCTGAGAGCTGGTACTCCCTCCTCCTGTCGTAACACGCCTGGATTCCTGGGTCCAGCCAGAGCTGCTTGATGGCCTGCACCTGGTCCTCGGAGAGCGCAGAGACCCTATCTACTTCCACTTCTCTGATTAGCTGGGCATTTTCCTACTCGGGGGGAAAGAGAACCTTTTATTAAGCAAAGGAAAGGAAGCCAACCCATTGGGCACAAGACTTGCCCTTCTTTATGGATCAGGGGACATCTCCCTAGGTGCTAGGGTGGGGTAGGTGCCCTGTGGGGGGCCCTCTCATTGCCATGCTGCTCAGCCGCACAGTGAGGGGAGCTGATGTAGTGCCTCACTCAGTGGAGGGAACCACACACCCAACACCTTTGGCTTTCAGTCCCAGCAGTCCCAGGAGGTGAGCTACACCAGCATCCACCAACCATCCCGCACAGAGCAACAATGGCCAACTGAGCATCACGGGACTAACAACTTGACTGCCTCTTTAATATGCTTACTTATATGAATATCTGCACTGCCAATTTAAAAATAACCATTGTCAGTGATGTACCATGGGTGAGGTGGTGCAAATGGGTGGAAGCAACAAAGGAGTGTATTCTTTAGAGAACTGAAAAATAATAATGCCAACTTATACGTCTATTCTTTTTTTCCTCCTCTTTAAATAAATTTTTTAATTTGACCTTATTTTTCAGAGCAGTTTTAGGTTTGTAGCAAAACTTGATGGAAAATAAATAAAGTTCTGATGGAGTCTGCCTTTTTTTTTTTTAATCCTCACTCAAGGATATGTTTTTATTGATATTGGGGGGAGGGGGAGAGGAACATCGATTGGTTGCCTCCTATACATGCCCCAACCAGGTACCGAACCCAAAACGTAGGGCCCTGATTGGGAATCAAACCCACAACATTTTGGTATATGGAGTGATGCTCCAACTGACAGAACCACTTCACCATGGCAAGACTGCTTTTTATTATCATGTGTCACTGGGAGAAGCACTCAGACAAAAACCCCCACCCCAGGCCACTGACTGCTGTACCGTTATTATGTATATAATTACCATCATTATTAAAGAGTCATTACTCTAATGCTATTGCCCTATTATTTCAGTAATTCATTATTACTGCAATTATTACTATTACAGAAGTTACTATTTATTGCCCACTTACCATGTGCCAAGGGTTCTACATGCATTATCTCATTTAACCAATAGAAGGTTAGCAGAATACCAGAAATCTTTCCAAACCTCAGCAAATGAAAATGATAATGTTGGCCTGCCTTCACATGTCCACATGCTGGTCCCGGAGACTCAGCATCCCATCCTCAGCTGCAAGTTGCAGCCGACCAGAGAATTCTGCCGAGAGAGACAGGATCCAGCCCCTTCTTCACAGACCCATCCTGCAGAGTCTACCAGCAGTTACATCACGTAGAGCTGGCTATTCACTGGCAGCTGTGAATCAGCAGAACATCTGCTTGGCAGCTGTGAACTCCTGGAGTATATATGGTGCCCAATGGAAAAGTTGCTCTTATCTTGCACTGCTCATTCTCATTACTAGTCCAACAGGAAGCCAGAGAACAGGGAGATCTAGAGTCACCTGCTCAAGCACGTCCGAGGCTGTGATGAAATCAGCATGACTGCACCACATCCATCACAGGAGCGAGGGGAAAAACTCTGTGCTCGACTGCGGGATGCTCAGGCAGGTAGGGTCTCCAACAAGGTGGCAGCTGGATGGTGCAGTGGGATGTGCCAGGGATGAGGAATCAGGACCCTGGGATCTAAATTGTGCAGTTGGAACTTTAAGGACCCCAAGTCACATGCCTCAATGTCCCTCATCTGTAAAAGGAGCCAGTGGTTTTCAGGGCAACCTGATTTATAAAGTATCACCAAAGGTAAGTAGTATTACAGCGGATGCCTAGTAAATATTTCTTGTGTGCCAAACAGAACACATTGATAGCCCTGAAACCACTATTTCTAACCCCACCCACTGGCACATTTGGCATCATCTGCCCTGTTCTCGCCAGAGAGAATGACAAATGGAGAATCTGGGCAGCGTTTACATGGAGCAGAGGGCTGTCTCCCACCTCCTCCCTCCGCTCTCCATCTCCCTCTTCCCAAAAGAATCAGGTGGTCTCTTCTCCCCGTCTAAACGTACGGTATCTGTGCTTAGTTCAACCCTCTAAATTTAAAGTATCTGTCTTCTTTTCTGTCTTCATGACCAGTCAGGAAATGCCATGAGGGCAGAGTCAAAGTGTGATTGATCCCAGAAGCTAGGACAGTATCTGACAAAGGACAGATGTGGGCATCCAATATCCAATAAACATTTGTGGCATTCATAAAAATATATTTAACAGACAAATCACAAGGAAACAATAACAGAAGGATGCTAGGGCAGGACGAAAGCCCCTGCCGGGACAGTTGGGGTACGTAAGGGGAGCTGGGGGCACAGGGAGCCAGAGGACAGGAAAGTCTCAGAGGAGGAAATGCTCTTGGCCAGTGTCTCTCACTCTGTTAAGTGCTAAGAGGCAGCACTGTGAGAATCATCAGGGATATTACAAATATATCTACCTCTTCTCACACATACCATGTGGGACTGTGCTTTGTGGTGAATGAAATGTTAAGTATAAGCAACATTTGTCTCTTTCAGAAACAAACTTCAGTCACTCATGAAGCCCTACTGATGGAGGGGCAGAAAACCCCTAGCACACCAGACTGCATATGTAGCATAAGTGATAAATCTCCTTTTATTGTGTTGAGTAAACTGAACTTTGGGGGCAGTTTATTACTGCAGCATAACCTATTCTATCCTGACTGACACATGCTGCAGTGGATAAACCCGGCATCTGGCTCTTCCAATTGAGAGAAAAAATGCACCACAGTGACATAGCAAAGAGGAACGCAGGCTTCCACAAGGCTCATACAGGATGGAATCTGGGAAAAGACCTAGACCTGAGCTTTCAGGTAACCAAGGAGCTCAGCCAGGAGAAGAAAACTGCTAAGTACAGGACTTTAGGGGAAATCTGGCCTGAAGGAAGGGAAGATCTCAGTGTCCTTAGAAACCCAACCATCGGACTTGGGTTTTGAATAGATTGAACTGAGAGGGTCCAGAAGTAATCTCCTCCTGGTTAACTCTCCCACCTGTCAAGATAATTTTTAAAAACTTCCAATTTTGAAATAATTTGACTTGCAAAAATGTGGGGGAAATGGTACAAGAGTTGCTCTATGACCTATGCCTTTCAAGGTGGACCAAATAATGGTTTACTACCTTGTTTTAACATTCACCCCCTTTCCCTCCAAGTGTGTGCACACACATGCACACATACACTTTTTCCCTCTGGAATATATGAGGAGAAGTTGCAGACTTTAAAGACGTCAGTGTGTTTTTCTACAAAAACAAGATTTGCTTGTATAACCACAGTATAATGATAAAAATCAGGAAATTAACAGATTGTATAGTTACAAGACAACCTCTTTGACTGCCAAACCTTCCAGGTCAGTGGAGACTAGAGAGACAACTAATTGCACTTTGACCCTTGCCTGGGCAGGGAGAGAACATTAATGGGACAATGGGCAAATTTTGAATAAGGTCTAAAGGTTAGATTACAGTATTGTAACTATATAGAGTCACAGAGCCTAGCTACGATGTTAAGTGAGGACTGACCACACACTGTTAAAAATGTCTGGGGTTACAAAGCATGATGTTGTGTGCATACTCCCTCTGGCTTCACTAGAACGTTTCCCAGACAGGAGCATGGGCATTTGGATGGGCCTGGTTAAACTTGGCAAAGCACCACCCCCCTCCTTTGAAAAGCAGGGCCCCTTAGAAATTTGGGAACAGTGTGTGCCATTTAAGACCGGCTTCTTCATCTCATGGGAAGTTGGGGAGAAGAGTTGAAGAGGATCAGGTTTAGGGAAGTGTGATGGGGCAGGGGACATGCTGAATCTGTGGCCACCAACATCTAAGTGGAGATGTCCAGCACATGAGTGGGTAAAATGGTCTATAGTTCAGGGAGTCCTAGGCTGGAGGAAAACAGAGTGGAGTTTTTCTCAAAAAGTTAAAAATGGAACTGCCATTTGACCCAGCCATCCCACTTCTAGAAATGTATCCCAAGAAACCCAAACACCATTAAGAAAGAATGTTAGTAGCAGCACACTTCACCATAGCTGAGATCTGGAAACAGCCCAAGTGCCCATTAGCAGACGAGTGGATTAAAAGGCTCTGGTACATTTACAACATGGAATACTATGCGGTTGTAACAAAGAAGGATCTCTTACACTTTGAGACAACATGGAGGGACCTGGAGAGTATTATGCTAAGCAAAATAAGCCAGTCAGAGAAAGACAAGTATCACCTGATCTCACTCATATGTGGAATCTAATGAACAAAATAAACTGATAAGCAAAAAAAGATCCAGATACATGGACGCATAGAACACACTATTGCATCTCAGAGGGAAGGTGGGGAAGGGGGGGATGTGTGGGAAGAGATCAACTAAAGAATGAGTATATATATATATATATATATATATATATATATATATATGTGTGTGTGTGTGTGTGTGTGTGTGTCATGGACACACAAAAGGGTGGTAAGGGCCTAGGGAGGGGTGAAAGTAGGAAGGAAGAAGTCCATGTGGAAGAAGAAGGGGACATCTGTAATACTTTCAGCAATGAAGTTAAATTAAAAAAAGAAAAATTCCCACCGAGACCCGTTTGGCTCAATGGATAGAGCGTCGGCTTGGAGACTGAAAGGTCCCGGATTCGATTCCGGTCAAGGGCATGTACATTGGTTGCGGGCACATCCCCAGTAGGGGGTGTGCAGGAAGCAGCTGATGGATGATTCTCTCTCATCAATGTTTCTAACTCTCTATCCCTCTCTCTTCCTCTCTGTAAAAAATCAATAAAATATATATTTTTTAAATCAATAAAATATATTTTTTTTAAAAAAGAAAAAAAATTGCCTAAGTCATTAATTTCACTGAAAAATCACAAAGGAGTAAATATTACAGGAGCAGATTCAGCAACTACAACAGAAACATGATTGGTTTCTCAAATTCTGATCTCATATCTGGCTTTTCCTCTTCTCCTGTCTCAAATAGAACCACCACTTCTGCTGTTCCAAAGGAAGAACATGGAAAACAGATGTCCTGCA